AAAAAAAAAAAAACACAAGCCTAAATCTTGACTAGCAATGCAAAGGCTCTGTACATTGGAACCCAGCTAATACAAAATAGCCAGGCCAATACAAATTAATGACACCAACCAGTCGAGGCATGGCTTTGTTGCAAAGGGTTATTTTCAGGATTCTACAATAGGAGAATTATGTCTCAACAAATTAAAGTAACTCTGATATCTACTGCATTATTAAATATTGCAGAATGGATTTTCCAACTTACATTTCTTTAAAATGTTTTAAAACATGCTGCAGAATCACATATAAATCTTCTGAACATTAATTTATACTGGGCTTTTAGCTGCGTGGTAAGTATTTTAAAATAATCTCTGTGCATCTTTACACAATGTTTTACGATCCGTCATCACAATTCATCGGATAAAAACATTTCATCAAATAATTTCCTATGTATTTATACGTATTTTTAATGCTAACTGGAAAACATAAAACAAACAAAATACAAATTAGGTAGATTAAAGGTGAAACCTCAGATGTGCCTGTATCTATTATGTATGTATATGGAATGAATCTTCCAAAGGGCATCCTTGCCAGAAAAATATTCAGCACACTTCCCTGGTAAAATTATCTCTGCATATGAGTCGCAGATATCAAAAAGAAATGTCTGCATCTTTGTGGACGCAGCTCAAAATGATGTTCTTGCTTCTGTTATTTTTTCCAGGTCACTTGACAAGGTAAGAAACTGTCTGGAAGATATCCTAGACATTATCTCATTTAACTCTCCATTCCCCAAAATCTCTAAGAAAGGTCTTTCCTTTATTGAAATATTCAAACTGTAACTCTTCAAATAATGACCAAGGAAGGCCCTTGGATCTCTCCTGGACAGGACTACTGGGACAGGACCACTATTTTACCTAGGCAAAGGATCATGTTCACTCTCTTTTTTACTACGACACGATCCTAGAAACAACTTAGGGACCAAGACTTCTCCACTGTTTTGGGCAGTACATGTAGAGCACAGGAGAAGAAAACCTGCCTAAGGAGCTTGCAGTAGATGTCCTTAAAAAAATAAACAAAAAAACTGCCAAAAAATCCCCCAAACCAGCCAAATAACAGAAACCAACTGATTCAGCGACGAATAAATAAAAAATAACAACAAAATAACTATGAATGTACTACTAGGCATGTATTTCACTCTTAAAGACCTAACTCCTGCAGTTTGTCAAATGGAGTCCCAGTCCACTCAGAGCAGCAAAAAAGGGGAATGCAAGTATTTAAAAGATAGTCAAGAAACATGGAGAATCATGGCCTCATTCCCATAAAAGTTGCTGGATTCCCAGTAGGCTCTGCTACCCTGTGATTTGAGTAGTTCAGCCCACCACTAGGAAGAATAATAATTAGCCCTTAAATCAATCTGTCATCTTGGAAATGATCTCCAGGATCATCTCCAGGAGCAAATGTTCTCCAAAGGAGATATATCTGGCCTAGCTTCTCACTTAACGTGCCCCTGTGCTATGGAGTGAACGCGGCTTTGCAGGGAAAGGCTGGCATCCACATTTCAAGGTGTTAACACACCCATAAATCCCACCTGAACTTTTAATCTAAGGACTCTTATAGAAAAGACTAGGTTTACCTAACTGTTTGGTGGCCATATGGCATTGTGAGAAGAGCATGTGAAACACAGTCTGTGCATCAGGACTCCTCCATACTGTAGCTAAGTGGGTGCACAAGCCCACTCTGACAGGTGGTGTTGGTTCATGTCATGTCCATATTGCTTTTCCTCTCATGCCAAGCATACAAGGACACTAGCCCCACATCTAGGCTAGAGTTCACTCTATACTGTGGACTACCTGAGAAGCTCAGTTAACTGCAATTACAGTTAACTGCAAGGTAGGAAGGATCCCAACTGCTTGGGAGACTTCTTTGGAGTGATGGAAGCAGGAATGATTTGCCTTTTGTGTAGAAGGTAGTAATAAATCCCCCAATGATGTGCTCTCAGTTGGATAAGGTTTTCAGACTGTGATGAGATATTTTAATATTGACTTATTTAGGAAATTAGGACTGTTTCATTATCAAGGTTTTTGATCATTTTTAAGTGCGGAGGCAAATCCTGAATTTACAAAATACCTGTACAGTTGTTATGACTCTGATGACATCACAGATACAGAACTCATGTAAATATAAAGAAAAGATTAACTGATGGAGCAAAGCATTACTCCAAATGCTGTGTAAAATCTCTGTGCGTAAATATGTAAACTAGATGAAAAAAAATAGTTTGCTGGCGCTTTCCCCAGATGCTGTCTTTTAAATCCATCACTAATCTTGTTCTGCTAGGCCAAGAAGGTTGTGAATATGGAAGAGATAAACTGCTTGCAAAGTTTTGCTTTGCAAAAAGAAAAAAATAATAATAAAAAAGCTTCTTGGGTTTTTAGCAATAAAGAACGTTAATGCACCTCTAAGTCAAGCTGTGACTTTCCACAAGACTTTAGTTCAGTTGCATAGAAATAAGCAAAAGGGAAAGAAAGAAGAGTTAATTAAGGCTCCTCTGATCTGACTCCAACCTGACCACCTGCAATAGGGATGATTGACAAATTTAGACATGAGGACACAGACTCCAGCCCACGCTTGGTATATAATAGAGAGAAACCTTTCCTTATGATGTTCAGACTGATCTTAAACCTTCCAGGCACTGCCGAAATGCTCTTTCTTCTACTAATGGCAGCATTGAAACCATCAAGCACAAGACGAGGTTTTATTCCATTTCAAACACTACTACAGTCCATGTTACAGGTAATATATATGGAACGTGGATATATTTAAAAAATTAATTACAGGACACTTTTCCATAAAACCTAAGCAACAGAAGGGATTAGCTTAGACCACCTTTTCAACAGAATTTCAAAAATCTCAGGAAGCCCACAAAGAACCCTTTTTTATCTTAATAAGAGAAAGAAGTAGTGCAGCTAGCACAGCCACGAGCAGCAGGGAGGTCCCTGTGGGGACAGTACCTTCAGAGAGAACTGGTACATGGGGTGGATAGCGCGGAGGTCGTTCATTGTGAAGTACAGCAGGGAGGCCCGCGCCGCTGCAGGCCTGTAGTGCTCCCTGGCCTCATTAATCTTTGTTTCTGTCACCTTGGATTCCCGGACCTGTGAGGAAAATGCAGGGTCAAGACAACTTTAAAAACATCTTTTTAAATTGAGTCCATCTTTCTCATTTCGGAGAGGTGAGAGCAGCGAGGCCCCAGACCGCCTGCAGTCTGGTGCAGGGTTAACATCGGCCGAGACGTCAGGCCAAGGAGCAGGTCAGGTGTCCCAAGGCTGAGAATGGTCATTTACAGCTCTTTGCTGCTTTTCTTCCCTGAGATTTAATGCACCTTTACCTTGCTAGCCAGGTGTCTGCACAACCGTTATGATGGATATGGTAAAAATCCTTCTGGCAGTTACACTGCCCCATTATCATCTCTGTCCTGTTGAAGTTCGTTCTTTCATTCTACTTCAGTGGCATAAAGTGACATCCTCGAGCCCCACGGGGATTATCTGAGGCTCTGTCTCGGCACAGTCAGAAACGTCTTGCAGAGCAGGTACGTGTTCCCGTGCCAGCGCCGGTACAGCCAGCTCAGCGAACCATGCAATGAGGACATGGCAGAAAAAGGCTCAGCATAGGCCTAACAAGCTTGCAGAGCATGACACAGCCCACACAAAAACATCTAACACGAGCCTCCCAAGGCCACCAGCTGAGCTGGGGAGGATATATCTAGCTGGGGCATTAGCAAGCCTTTTCACTGAAGGTCTTGGTTATACACAGCCAACATATGTCGGGATCTGGAGGATTAGTCTGTTGGCACATCCTGAGAACCCATTGTTTCATAACCTCTAGGGCTCCCTCTAAGGAACGCCTTCAAAGGCTCCTGCAATCAGGTTTCAGGCACAGGGCATTTTCTGTAGGCCAGTGTTGCGAAGATCCTAGCCCAACTTATAAGCAGAAATGTGTGTTTCTTCACAGCTGTACTACAATTATAGCTATGCACAACACCAAATGTTCCTGCACTTCTAGATGTGTTGCTATTGTAGAACAGAAACATCCAGCAGGTAGAGGCTGTATGTCCCATGCAGCCAGGCAAGGTGCCCTTCTACTTTCCACAGCCCAGCGCCATCTCCTTCCCCTACCTTGTCCAAAGCTGAGCTGATATTTCATAAAGACCAGCTGCTCCAATAGCTGTGAGAGAACATTGCTTACAGTCAGAAGAGAGAAACAAGCACCTCCATGAATTGCCCACCTAATTCTGAAGTTGAATACAGATACCCATTATTGAACAGTGCTGGTCATCATGCTGGAGAAGGCCAAGGGCTGGGCTATTATAAGGATGGGGTGACTGGGGAGGGAAGTAGTCAAGGATGGCCACAGAAGGATCCAGTTGTGGTCCTGGTGTCACAGCCACACTCCTGTCATCCCATAAGCGAGAGCAGAGATGTCTTTACCTAGTCACAGCACAGCCAACAAGGCAAACTGGGTAGTGACAACACTGACACTACAGAGCTAATGAAAAAGCTGATTTACAACCTAAGGAACTGAAGGGTAGGAAATACTCAAGTTTTTGCAGATTTACTCTAGATCACAAACTCAACAGATTCCAGTCCCCAGTCACTACTAAAATCAAGCTTAATTGAGGAAGTGTGATATACTCAGAATTAATTCAAGGAAAAAATAAAAGGCCACTGTGTTACACTGGAATAGTTTAAAGCAGCCTTGATACAGTGTGTAAATTTTATTATCTTTGCATTAGGCACTGCCATTTTCTCGTTGTCTTAAATAGGCCATTTAACATACACTAGCTCAAAAGAATTAAATCGTTTGAAACTGGCCAGAACGGAGAGTGCTTCAATTTATGCTGCTTTCTATTCTCTGCACAGCAGAATAAGTAGAGATGAGCATATTAAAGAAGCTATGTTTCACCAACAAATCTTTAAAGATAACATCACAGGCAGGCTTTTCTCTGGGCTCTCACTTTGTCTTTTTACCTTCTCTTCGATTTCTGCAGCTGTCTGTTTAGTGATCTCCAAGTTCTCCACCAACGCTGTGTCTCCCAGGAAGTTCCCAGATGCTGATGACAGCCGAGAGAGCAAGTTGTCCTCTAACGTTTTCAAGGTGATTTTGAATCCGTTCTGTTGCTTTGTAAGGTCTGACTGCAAATAATGAATTCAAAAAGTTTTAGCCACAAAAAAAGAGTGATAAGGAAAGCATTAATCATCTCTGTATGGAAAGGAGCTTCTAATTGACCATTTGACACTGTCCAGCATTGCTCACAGACCAACCCCTGCTCTGATTCCTGTGTATGAACAGAACTCCCGGGATCTCTCCTTATCCAAATCACCATCCACTCAGAGAAATCCTGAAAGTGCCAGGATGAATAAGCTCTTCCTTTAGGAATGTATTAAAATGATAGAAATGATTCAGGAGGAAACTACCTCTCGCACACATCCTGTGCCTCCTTCTCAGAAACGTCTGTTTTTCAGGCTTGAGTCATTCTGGATGGTCCTACACAGGAAGGCTGAGGATAAACACGTCTTCCTCACCTCCTGGGAATCTCTTCCCTTCCCCAGCATCGCAGTCCCAATCACATCAGCAACAAAGACCACAGGACTAAAAGCCAGTGGTGAAAGTGACAGTCCATTCTCCTCGGTCCAGGGCTAAGCACAACCCACAGCTGACTCTTTCTGGCTTAGAGCTCTGAGCAAAGTCAAAATCTTACTTGATTTCCCACTTGTATTCTGGCCTTGAGATGCTGCTTGGATCAGTGGCCACCCGTGCTAGAAGCTGTCCAGGCAAGGACAGTCTTCACTTCACTGCAATTTTAGTGAAAAGACAGCCAAGCAGGTACAGACCAGTAACTGTCTTCCTTCAGGAGCAGATCTTCTAAAATAGGGTGCAAATCTTCCAATTTTCATTCTGCAAAACAAGGCTTCCCTCCCTTCTGCAGAAGAGACAGAGCAAGTTGCTGGAAAGAACTACCAGTTATTAACACTGTTCATGGTAGAACTAAAGACTCTCATCTGTCTCCTTTCTGAAAATATCCTTGAAAATACGTTTTCATCTGGGAAAATGTGATTGCCCTATTCTCTCTGTTTGCTCGGGGAAGCTGCCTCTTTCCCGGATTGCAGGTACATTATATTATTCCACTATGTGGTCTTATTCTGAATGCCTATTTTTAGCATTATCACAGAAAACATCCTGTGGTAAAGCAGTGCATCTGCCTTGGATGCTGCTAAGGTATAAGCCTAGATGACTTCTCTACATAAATGAATCCAATCACTAACACCCTAGTATGTGAAACACTGCTGTATGACACATCGAGTTTTAAATCCCCAGATTTTATTTAAGTGACACAACAGAATGACTCTAATAACTTGCAAAAGAGTGTTTTTCAGAACTATGAAAATATGCCAGGTCTGTGAAGTAGAAGAGAGAGTGGAATTAGAACAGGTCCTAGGCCATGTTGACTGTCAGGTGGCAGAATCAGTGTCACAAGCCAAGTAATTTAATGATCCCAAGACACCTTTCGGAAAACCTGGACCCACACCTCCTAAGCACCCACAAGGTCCCTGGAAATGGGACACATCCAACATCCTTGTGGTTCTTCCAGGTGGAAGAAACACACTGGGGGAGGTAGGGAAGGAGGGGCACTATTTGTTCTGTTGTCAGAGGTTTTCAAGCAGATTAACTAGCTCATTAGCAACTCATCTTTCAATATCTGGGCTGAAATTTCACATACTTGCTCACACACACTCACTTCATGTTAATGTCAAGCCAAGTCTTCAGTAGAAAGTGCACTGAAGCATGCAGTTTACTGGTATTTCATCTATAAATACTTGCTTTTAAGGACCTGTTCCTTAGGCATTACACACAGGACTTTGCCCATGGTGGTAAATATTTTACAAGTCTTGAAACAGAAAACTAACATGGCTAATTTTGCGTGTGTTCCCATCATTCAAGCATAGCATGCCTCGAAAATGACATTTTGCAAGCTATTATTTCAGAGCATGGACTGTAAGCCCTGCAGTTATTAATGAGGATGTGTGTGGTCTTTTGCTCCAATAGCTTGTAATCATCACGCCATTCCTGAAGCACGCCCTCAGAAGTGGGGACAATGCCGTATTTCCCACAACAGCCTGCATCTGCTGCAGCTTTGTCATGCTATTGTTTCCAGCAGTAGCAAGGTCATCATTTCTCATTTCTGCAGCGGAGCTCATTATCTCTTATTTCACAGCTGATACATAACTGTGTGAATCCCAGGAAACAGGTTACTACTCTGAGGGCTCTCAAATTTTCATTCCCTCACAAAAAAGAAATAGAGCTAGAGGTCAGTGTGGTGAGGATTCACTCCCAGCCCTTTCCCAGCTCAGATGCTCAACTGTTGTGAGCCTGAAGCCTTTTCCAGGACTTTCTACACTCTTCACTCTTTCTTCACTGACAGATCTTCAAATTGTCAGTCTCTGTCAGTGGGGACAGAGCAGCCAACTTGAGAACCGTGTTGAGAAAACATACAATAATGTCCCCAGATGGATGCCAAGACTGAGGAGGAAGAAGGGACCTTCCCAGGGACCTCAAACTTTTCCTAGAGAAGGATGCTGATGACTTGTAATCATCCCATACCAGTTCTGCTTGGGGAAGACTGAAGCTATAGATCTTAGGGATGCTGGGAGGGTGAGCACAACCTCAAATACCAAGGTCGACATTAGTAGTTATTAGTGACCTGTATCTTTGTGTAACAATTTTAACTGTATGAGACTTTTCTATATCATTATAAGTGTTATTTGGACAAATAATGTTTGATCAATTTTTATTAGGTTATTAACCACTCTAAGAACAAATTAATGTATTTGTCATGCCTATTATATCAGGGAAGAAACAATGGCATAGGGCACAGATAGAGGAGTGCCACCTCATCAGGGTTATCCATAAAAGTCAGAACCGTTGTAGCTGGAGCTGATCCCCTCTCACATTCTTTGTACAATGCCCAAACCTACCACTTAGGTTTAAAAATAATAATAATAAAAAAATAATAAAAAAATAAACCTCTTCCTCTGCTAATGAGACTTGATGTCTCCTGAACTCCAAGATTGAAGCCTCCTGGCTTGCCTTCTCCAGCCAAATCAGCTGCATCTGCTCCTGGGAGTCAAGAGCCATGGACCACCAATCTCTCACAAGTAGACAGACACATGCAGGGGTCACACACATCCTGGGTACATGCTCTGACACCAATGCGGGTGTTAAGATTTACTACCCATTGTCCACTGGAAGAAAAATATCTGTGACCCTGGGGAGGTGAAGGGGCATAATGCCCATTCTGCATCCAGGAAGAAAACTCTCTGTGGAGAGACTTTCCCAGCAGGGAAGTCACTGGGCCGACTCTTCCCCATTCAGTGGAAAATCTCAAATAGTAGCCTATTTTTTTTTTTCTAATCTCTTTGGTGTGTGGGGATTTCTAGGGAGAGGGAAACAGGATAAGAGAGAGGAGATATTGTGGGCCCCAACATTATCTTGATATGGTGAAATACAGAAGGGAGTCTCAGATATTTTGAAGGGAAAACACGACTGCATTTCAAACAATCTGTATCCACTCTGTGGTTCCTGAAGTCAGACTCCAGCCCCGTATCTCCTGCTGCTGGTGGCACAGCTGGCAGTAGCAGCAGGCGGGGGGCATATTCCTGGTCCTCCCTGATGCTCTATCCCAATCTTCCTTCTTCACCGGTCCAGAATAAGCAAGGATTTCAAAATATATAATCCCTAATTCACATTATTTTTACTGTTTTCTAACACACAGTTCCTCTTTTATGGATTACAAATGCTGCAGAATTTGAGCCACTAATTTTTAGAGCCTAATAGTTTAGTTGATGATACTGAATTCATCTTTCTTCGAGTGACAACAGCCATGAACAGTAATGCTGTTGAGGCTGAGGGACACTCCTAAACTTCACTTAATGACACCACTAACAATCTCAATCGCCCTACACAACCCCATCTAGCATAAGACAGTGGAGATAGGTGTCTGTTTGCAGCATCTACAACCTGCTGATGAACATAATGTCTGATCAAGAGGGTTTGGGTCTCTCACTGTCCTAGCCAGATAGGCATGGGCTTGCTTATTAAATCAGCACGTAACACATTTATATATCATCTTTTGGCTTGTTAGCACATGAGTCCATTTAAAACTAAATGCATCATTAAGGCTTCACAGCTAATGTGTTTGAGAACCTCATTAAGTAAAGAGATTACTACAAGACTGGCCTGGCTGAACATGACACACAAATTTATTCCTACTTTCAGTACATATTTAGTAATGTACCTATTTTTTTTACTGTGCTAAAGATGCCTTTAGCAGAGAAGATTTTATTTAAAAAGTTATCTTGAAACTGAAGCCATACTTATAACAACTTACAGCAACTTACAACTCAGCTCAAGACAAAAACGAAAAACCAACAAACATTTTGGCTGGTTATAAAAAAGTGGGAGGAAGAACTATACTAGAAAAAAAATCAATTCTAGCCACACAATGTTTGGAGTGGCATCCTATACCATAAATGCCTAAAGTTAAGTGAGGCTAATCTACTTCCAAAATTAAATCTGTTAAGTCTAGAGAAAAATGATATAATGAGAATCTCTGTTTCCATTCCCAAAAGGGAGAGGAAAAGAAAGAGGCTGTTTTGGAAAAAACATTTGAAGTTGCAATTTAAGTATGCCCAAAATACTTAGAAGACAGATGAAAACAAACAAACATACAAAAACTCAATATATATAATTCAAGGGAAATCTCCGGTTTTTATGGCGACCTGAATAATTTTTGCACCCTTGAGCATGAAATTATGTTTATTTTTAAATATTTATATTATTTTTGTTTTTTAGAATATTTATACTGCCTCCCAGTGTAAACCCCCAGTTACTGACCTTGAGCTGCTCCAAGTCGGGCCTTTCCAGGTTCACCACCGCTGCGAGCAGCTGGTCCTCCAGGCCATCGCGCGTGACGGTGAAGTTGATCAGGGTGCACTGGGCCTGCATCTCGGGTTGGAAATGGGGGTTTGCCAGCTTGGTATGAAGGATCAGACGGAAAGCGGGGTTGAAGTCACACTCCTTGTCTCCAATCTTAATGTATCTGAAATGATTAAGATGCATGTGCTCAGATCTCTTCCAAGGTATTTCTACCTAAATATCAATAAGCCAAAAAATCTATTAGCGGAAGACTCAGGACAGATATAATTTTTAATGCAAAGAGTATTTAAAATTGGACAAGCATTAAACATTTCTGATTTAAGATAATATAGCCAAAGTGTTGCCCCTGAATTTCAGCTCTGCCTAATGGAGAAGGCTCACAGTTTCTGATATGCTGTGGTCAGCTTGAACCATGAATCATCCTTTCTTCTCCATGGGGGCCACATTCTTTCTAAAGCTGCAGTTACGTGAAGGAAAAAAAGATAAATAACTTGGCACTGAGATTTTAATTAGCCACCACTGAAACTGCCTTGGCTGCCTCTGTGACCACATGGAGCTTCAGCCATGAAGATGACATAGAAGAGTGGCTCCCAGCCATTTGTGGGAGATAAGATTACTCAGGAAAGTCTATTTCTTCCTATTCTGCTTTTCTGACCAAGTCTATATTTCATAAAGTAGGAAAGATGAACCACGAGGACCAAAATATTTTCCACATAACTTTGACAAAACCCACAGGAGCCAGTGGAAAAGAGAACCTGGAGATGCCCTGATGTAAATCTCCTTCAAGCTTGCTCTACACATGTTGGTACTCGTGCAAGCTGCAGTGATGCTTACACTGAAGCAGCTCCACTGTTACTTACCTGTGCATAGACATAGGATCAGAATCAGCATAGGAATATCAATACATTTTCTAGTCAGACATAAACCTGTTAAGTACCTTTTTGGTCATATCTGTCACTATTGTGTTTTTACAGATGAAAAATGGAGACACAGAGATCATGAAACATGAGTAGCTCATGAGAGAATCCAAAAATAGTGCCCAGAGCCTTGACTTCAAGAGACTCCAACGACAGGACTACTGGCTTCTGCCTATATAAATGAAGGACTAAGGTCTGAAATGAAAAACTGGGGCTTTAACTTATCCTGGAAAACATGCAGTCAAAGAAAAACAAAATAAAACAAAAACAAAAAAAACCAATAAACAACAACAACAACAAAAAAAAAGTCCAATCAATACCAATGTTTTCTTTAATTTTTGGTTTATTTTTGCTTTCTTAAGTAACACAAATTACATGTGAGTGAGTTCTGAGAACAAAGGAGAACAGAGTCCCAAAAGGGAAAAGGGGTTTTCCACTACAAGGGGACTGAAGTGTCACAACATTTCTGCTTGATTTTGAAATGTTTTTATTCCCTGCATTTGGGAATATCATTCCCTTTGAAATGCTTCTTCCCTTTTACAATCATAGCTGCAAACCAGACCCAGCCACATATCTCATCATTCCTTCCCTTGCAAGAGATCTGCACAGCCTGCCTTTCCCAGAAGTTTACAGTGTCCTAAGATATTTTATGAGAGTTCAATCACAAGAAAATGATTTCTGAGAAACTTAAGGAATATGAAATCCAGAGCTTAGTAGAATTTTTTATTTATTTGTTTTTAATGGTCAAAGCCACAAGCAGGACTGTATTGAGAGCCACTGCTGCAGTCCCAGAGGTCAGCCCATGCTGTGCTGCTCTTCGCTGTAAAGCTATTAGCAGCAGAGACTTTTAAAAATCTGACACATACCCTTCTAAAGGACAATGACACCAGTATGTGCAAGCCAGTGAAATAACATCAAAAGAGTCAAGAATCGAGTTCAGTACAGACCACTGAACATAGAGTTTTGTTTGTTGATATTACTTGAGCACATTCTAAAAATGTAATCATTTTGCTTGCATACAAGAAGAAGAAAAAAGTCAACTCACTTGTTGCTCCTCTCTCTGAAACTCCTCCACATTGACACAAAGAGCTTCCCCGCAGTGCGAAATACTGACAAAAGTCTTAATACTTAAATCTGCAACTGTATTCCTAAACCAAGTACAGGGTTTGCTAAAATGGAAGGTTACATTTTCTTTGCAATAGACACTTTGGCAATAATTTAGCATTGAGATAACCAATTACAGACATCAAGGACACTATACAAAGGGAAGAATTACAGATCTCTCTGCACAAGATTTGAATTGCTCTGTCCAACAAAATAAATAGAAAAAACAAACTAAGTTTATATCAAACCCATCTTATGACTGAATTATCCATGACTGCCTGATTTAAAATATTCTCACTTCTAAAGGTAGGTTGTTAGCATTGTCATATAAGAACACCCACAAATCAAGGTCAGAGAAAGAGGGCACAGCAGCATAAAGAATCTATTGACCAGGGAAAGGGCAGAGAAGAGCATGGCACTTATGGAGACATCCATGCTATTCTGCCCCGCAGGAGCTCACCTTCCTTTCTTGATCGTTTCTCGACCCAGTAAGGGCCCCAAAACTGGATCCACAAATTCCTCCAGGTTTTCAATCAAAACCAATTCTCCTGCAGCAACAGCTCGTTCCATCGTGTCCAAATACCTATGGAAACGGTAAGGAGGCACCGGAGTGAGGCTCTGCGGGAAGGAGCGCAGCACGTGCAGGAGGGAGAGGATGCAGCTCCACACGCAGAGCAGAACTCGCAAGAGAGGGAGAGTTGGCAAGAAACTGCCTGCGAGGTGGGAAGCAGCAGCGGCCGCCTTGGCTGCCCAGCAAAGACAGAGTCCGATCTCAGACCTCTTAAGGGCAACTAGTAATACCCAAGAACATGGACAGCAGTGAACAACACAGGTTGGATAAGCCACTAGATTTGCTTGCCCAAAGGAAAGAATAGGTTTCAAATTCAGAGATTAGGATGGGGTAATACCAATTTAATTTTTCATAAGGTAATTTGACCCCATTGCACCTTGTTTAACTTCAAAGCAAGGTTGCTCTGCATCAGGATGCTTTCTCTTGGGAAGGGCATGGTCAAATGCCTCTGCTCTCTGCTTCAGGGCTGCTCTGTACTTCACATAACTTGCTTTTTGCAAAAAGGAGTGAGTAACTTTGGATGGGCAGTGCTGATGCTCTCTAGGCATGGTTACCCTGTCAGAGTAATTACCCCAACTAATTCATCTGGCTAAAACTTAGGCTCCTGAACTAAGCCAGACAGATGCCCTTATCCTCATGAGGTGTTTGAACCCATCATATAATAGGTTTCCAAGACTGGTTCAGCTGCATGGCCCTTTGAGAGGGCCAGGTTTTCTCAGTGACTATAGAAGGAGATGAGAGAAGTTCAGAACAAATAGTTGACCTTTAGAGGAATATGTTGAAAAGATGTGAATCCTGCCTCTGATCATCAACCACTTTCTTCTGAGCCCCAAAATATTTTATATGAATGACATATATGAATGACAGAGAGAATGACAGCAGGTGACCTCAAAGGCATGACAAGATGCCAGTACAAACAAGTGTTCTAACACAGAGTGAGCTAAACATCCCCAAATCTACATGCACTCTCGAGCTTTTGTGTCTCTCAGCTGTTGCAGATGTTTTGCTCTGTATGATTAACAAATCTTAGGGCACAGGCCCAAACGGGGATGTGACTCTGGGTCCATTCCATGCCAGCAGTGTGTCCTCATGAGTGACTTAGCCCAGCTGGTCTTCAGGGCATGGGGACCCTCAAATCAACTTCACCTTCCAAGACCAGGTCTCTGTCCTTCTCAGCCCTATTCACCCGCCTTGTTGAAACCGAGTCGGGCAGCAACACATTAGCGTGAGCCTGAGGGACGATGCCATAATCCTGCATGGAGCTCAGTCCCCAGCAGATCCCTCTTCTCATTTTCTGTTTTAGAGGAGTTGCTATGGTAACTTGACCAAGCACTAAACAGCCCCTCTATTTAATGAGAAATCTCTATCATTTTGGTAATGAATAAACAGCTAATGTACAAATACATTTGAGAGTTCTCCTCAATGTAATTTGCTCAGATGGCTGCCGTCAAACATATTCTATTCATCCAGGATGAGTGATAAGCATGAGAAGATATTATTATGCGATAAGGCTCATATTTACCCCTTCTGCCCAATTCGGATCACTCGGAGATCTTCACCATACTTGGTTTTGATCCATTTGATACCCTGGAGCTGAGGATCCACCATGAGTGGCCAGCGTTCACAGTTTGTGAGGATGGTGGCATTTTCTGTGGACATCCGATCAGCTGGCAGGCCCTCGTTCTGCCAAGCTGCTACATCAGCATCGTCTGTCAGCATGCTCAGAGGGTCCAAAGACGGAGTGACAGGGATTGGGATCTGGAAGGAAAGCAGAAATGTTCCCTGGTGTGTCAGTACAAAGCTGTGAGAGCTATCTGAAATATATTCCAAAGACAAACAAGCAGACCAATTCAAGAAAATTCAGCGTAATTAAAAACTGAGCAGTCTTATCTCTCAGTGCTTTGCCATTTTACAGGATAGTTTTGATCTAGTATTAAAAGCTCTCCCACTCCTGTTGCGAACAAACATAAATTATACAGAAAACACAAAAATTTTTGCCTGTAGTGTACTAAGCGCACGAAGCCGTCTCAACCCAGCAGAACAGGTTCAGATCACACTTTGCAGTGCGCAAAGTCTTTGAAATGACAGCTTTGAAGAATATAATTAACACCCTGATAAGCCTGCTGTTGTGCTGCAAAATGGCATTAGCAGTTCTAGAAACACTTCTCTGACATGGGAGGCCACTTCTGGACGTGACAACCAGTAAGTTATCTGTGACAGTCACCTGAAGAGAAGAGGCCTTCAGTTTTTGAATGGGAAAACAGGCACTTCCTTGAAAATTCTAAGCACAAGTCATAGCATTTTTTGAAGCAATATTGCTTTTTTAAAAAAAAAAAAACACTATGTTCTTGGCTTAGTATTAAAAAAAAAAAAAGCATTTTTTTTCTCTCCTCTCCCATCCTATGGAACTTGCTGCTTTTCTCAGCTTTCTAGTTTAGGCAATATTCAATAGGCTGCTTAGTTATGGCCTTATTTAAAATCTCTTGGCTTTTTTTTTTTAACCAGGATTTACAATGCTCCATTAGGTATTGATGCACAGAAAGCTCCGTCCTGCAGGAGGCTGAGCACTTGGATTTATTGATACACGAGGGGAACTGGTAAAAATTATCTAAGCTTAGTTAAACAAGTTTGAAATATGCCTGTCTCCATCCAATCTGAGCAGTAAGACATCGCTGAAATCTGCTGAGAGGCAGGGCCAACAAGAACAGAACCAATGTCCAGCATGAAGGACTGTCTGGAGTCTTTCTAGGCCTACCAGGGAGCAAGAAATCACAAGCAGTGAATGAAGTGTGGCTATGTCCTCCTCCCCACCCCAGCATGGCAGGGATTCAAGGGGTGCACCTCATTTAGAAAGCCTCCTGCAGACACCAGAATTTATGTCCTTGTAATAACCAGTAACAACTGTTTTCCAGAGGAAGCAGGGCTTACTTTCAGCTGGTGCAAATAGGGCTTCCAGAGTCCATCCATGAGATCTTGCCTGTATTTCTTGGTGAAGTATCCCAGGTAGGAGACGAAGGCCGTAACCAGTAAGACATCCCCACACAAGGTGCTCTGCTGCCGTTTGAAATCCTTTATGGCTTCAGCCCATCTCACATTCTCAGAAGCCAGTCCCCTGACCTAGAATTTCCCAAGAAAAATTAGTTATTACAGTCGTTCTTCAAACAGTACGATCAGTATCCAGCCTCATTGTATGTCCTCATTGTATGATTTAAATGTCATTTGCTAAAGTTTAGAACCTGGGGATGGCAAATACACCACCACTACTTTGCTAAACTCCTGCTTCTGTTCCCCGAAAGACTGGCTGTACAATCCAATCTGAATTGCCTGCTTCAGATCTCGTTTGAAAATCATCAAGCAATGATCACTTCTCTATCATGAATGTGCATAAGGACGCCTGCATAAAAAATCTGTATCTTTATATGAAATGGTAATTGCCCTATTGCCACAGATTCGCACCTCGTTAAACTCTCTCCCACCACTCGGAGCATTCCTCTCCAACACTCACAACCTTCAGTTACTCCATGTAATTTTTTTATCACCCCAGTTACATGGCAGCTTGCCATTTTATGTGTGATTACAGCCCTCTTTGGTTGTTTTTCTTTTCACTAATATCCTGCTTGCAAGAAATTGCTAATGGACATTTTTCATAAGCAGTAGGATCTATCTCTACACACATGGCTAACTCCTTTGACCACTAATACTTTCTGGTATCTTACTGGTCCCTAATTCCTGCAATCATGTGGTTATCGGACACCCTATGAGACCCCCCCTCCCCTTTTTTATTAATTTTCAAGAAGATTTTAGTCTTCGTAACTGAGAAACACAGCTTGAAAATCTGAATGAAGCGTACGGGTACACGATTCAGGTACACACGTCTGGAGAACCCAAAAGTGTTTTAAGTTGACCTCATATATTTTGATATTTGCAGTGCTTAAGATTATGTCAAATTCATAAATCACTCTCCTGATGTAAGGCTTCTCTGGAAACAACCATGCAGTTTACAAATTGACCGTATTTACAGGCCTCTATCAATAGCTGCCACCTGGCACTTCCTACTGTTCTTCTGTGTACAGTCTGCATCTGCTTATGGTTATTTCTCATTTCTTATGAGGAAAAAAAAAAAAAAAACAACAACCTAGACCCTCCTCTTTCCTACATTTTGCAAACTTCCCAATTAAAGAGCTCCAATAAAATGTAATTATTATGACACTGGTGCCTTCTCCCGGGTCATAAGAAAATTGTTCAATAGGATCTGATCTAATATATATCCCAATGATATGCCTCACAAACAGCTGGAAAAACTAATTCCCTTCGGTTTGGATTATTTTGCTATATTGGGCTGATTTACAGAACACAGGGCCTCAGCACAGAAAGACAACACATTCCGTATTTTCCTTCAGACCCTTCCTGAATTAAATTGTCATGATACCGTTGTACATTCCCAACTGACTTGCTCTGCTCCTAGAAGACTCTTACTGCTTTCTGGTTGTTAGGAGACTTATTTTAACTTCCAATTTAAGTTTACTCTTAACCAGCTTATACCATTAA